TGCTCACTGAGAACATTTGTTCCCTTTTGAGAAAGATGCAAACCATCTTTTTTGTACAGCTTATCTCCATTCCAAACAGAGCTACCATGAGAAATAAAGCCAAATCCTTGCTCCCGACACCATTCACCAAGCCACAAATTAAAGTCCCTAATACGCATCCGCCTGTCGTTCTGAGTGTTATGCACAGGCAGAACTTCAGAGAATGACAGTGTGGAAGCAACCTGCCGTATATCATTGGCAAAAACACTAAAAACTTCCTTAACCTCTGAAACCTCATTGCAAGCCAAGTCATTTGTCCCTAGATGGACAAGTACATCCAATTCCCCTTCCTGCTTTGCTTGCTTAACAATATTACAGATACGTCTCCTGTCTCTGTGAGCAGTAGCTCCGGGAAGACACCTCACAAGACCACCATTGTCCATCTCCACACCTCTTATAATGGAATCACCCAACAACAACTGCTTTCTATTAGGCCTCACCATAGTCTCCAAGCCGGTCTCCAGACACGTGGATGTGGGTGTTATGAAATACTTGCCCACTGATGTCCTCCTTGGGAATGATTTGGCCCCGTTGGTTTCAGCCTATGCCCCGATGGGCCCTGCGGACGTTAACCCAGTGACTACTCATGCCCAGACCCGTGCTGCTGGAACCGGCCCACCTGCTGATGAGACCCAGGTAAGACCCTCTTCCCCGACTGGTACCTTAGATCAGGCCCCCTTAAGCTGGGATTCCCCAGAGGAGTTTGGGAGGGAAACCCGGGCAGACCCGACTCTCCACAAATACCGAGATAGGGCAGATGCTGGAGAGGAAGGAGTAGATGGGGAGCGGTATGAGTGGGTGGGGGACAGGTTATATAGGATCCCTAAGCCTTCCCAGAAGAGTGTTGCCCTTCCGCCGAATCGTCAGTTAGTGGTACCTGCAAAGTACCGGCAGGAGATTCTGCGGATAGGGCATGATGTTCCGTTAGCTGGACATCTAGGGTCCCGCCGCACAGCCTATAGGATCTCACAGAACTTCTTTTGGCCAAACTTTAACCAGGCTGTGCGGATGTATTGCAGTACGTGTGACACATGTCAACGGGTAGGAAAGCGGGGGGACCACCCTAAGGCTAGGCTATTATCGATGCCTATTATAGGGAAGCCCTTTGCCCGCATAGCTGTTAAAATTGTGGGTCCACTGGCCAGGGCTAGTCCATCAGGTAAGAAGTACATTCTTACCGTGGTGGACTATGCCACTCGCTATCCAGAGGCAGTAGCGCTGTCTAATATAGAGGCAGAGATGGTTGCTGATGCCCTGGTTAGAATTTTTACTAGGGTCGGGTTTCCTAAGGAGTTTCTCTCCGACCAGGGAACCCAATTCACCGCTATGCTCACCCAGCAGCTGTGGAAGGTGTGTGGCATTAAGCCGTTACTTAGCTCACCCTACCACCCACAGACTAACGGTCTCTGCGAGCGCTTTAACGGTACCCTCAAACAGATGATGAAGACCTTTACAGACACTTGCAGAGACTGGGAGAGGTTCCTGCCTCATCTGTTGTTTTCTTACAGAGAGGTGCCCCAGGAATCTACTGGGTTCTCCCCCTTTGAGTTGCTGTATGGGAGAAGGGTCCGCAGACCCCTAGATCTCATTCGAGGCCACTGGGAGGGGGAGACGGAGCAGGAGGGGACCCCCATAGTGCCATATGTTCTGGAACTCCGGGACCGCATGGAAAAACTGTCCCTGATGGTAAGGGAGAATCTCCAGGCGGCCCAGGGGAGACAGAAGAGATGGTACGATCAGGGTGCCCGACAGCGGGTCTTCCAGGTTGGGCAAAAGGTATTGGTGCTCAAACCTGTGAAGGCCAACAAGATGCAAGCATCTTGGCAGGGCCCGTACAAGGTAGTGGCGCAGATCTGCGATACTACTTACTTGATAGCCAGCTGTGCAGATGAGAGAATCCAGCGATCCTTCCATGTGAACATGCTGAAAGAATACCAGGAAAGACCTGAGAACATTGCAGCAGTATGTGCCCCAGCTGCAGATGATTCTGAGAATTTACCCCTTCCAGATTTATTAGAAAGGGATTCCCAGACTGACCTTACTACCCTTGTACAGCTAGGGGACAGGTTGAACCCAACAGAAAGGGTACAGGCGCAGCAGTTGTTGTGGGAGAAGCAGGCGACGTTCTCCCAGGAACCAGGTTATACCACCCTAGCTGTACATAAGGTAGAGACCCCTGGACAGACCCCCTTACGACAGCCCCCCTATCGTGAAGCAGTCCGTGAAGGAATGCGGAAGGAGATACAGGAGATGACCCAGCTTGGGGTCATCGAGCACTCCGACAGCCCTTGGGCTTCGCCTGTAGTCCTGGTGCCCAAGAAAGATGGGACCACTCAGTTCTGTGTGGACTACAGGTGGCTCAACGAGCAGACCACCGCTGACGCCTACCCAATGCCCCGGGTAGACGAATTACTGGATTGTATTGCCAGGGGGCGATATCTGACCACCATAGACCTGTGTAAGGGCTACTGGCAGATCCCCCCTGGCCGAGGATGCTATCCCCAAGTCGGCATTTGTCACCCCATTTGGCCTGTACCAATTTAAGGTCATGCCTTTTGGGATGAAAAATGCACCGGCTACCTTCCAACGGATGGTGGATAGACTCCTGGATGGCTTCCAAGAATTTGCCTGTGCATACTTGGACGACATTGCGATTTACAGTGGGTCCTGGGAGGAACACCTGGTACATGTAGGGGTAGTGCTGGATAAAATTCGGGCCGCTGGCCTGACATTGAAGCCATAGAAGTGCCATCTAGGTATGGCTGAAGTACAGTACCTGGGTCACAGAGTGAGGTGTGGGAGTCAGAGACTAGAGCCAGCCAAGGTAGAGGCAGTGGCTAACTGGCCCACACCTACCACTAAGACCCAGGTATTGGCCTTCTTGGGGACGGCAGGGTACTACAGACGTTTTGTCCCTGACTACAGCACTATTGCTAAGCCCCTGACAGACCTGACGAAGAAGAACTTGCCTAAGCAGGTCCTGTGGTCTCCGACTTGTGAAGCTGCGTTTCAGGCACTAAAACAGGCTCTTGTGAATGCCCCTGTCTTGGCTGCCCCAGTCCCTAACAAACGCTTTCTTGTCCACACAGATGCTTCCATATATGGACTGGGGGCTGTGCTGAGCCAAGTCGGGGAAGATGGAGGAGAGCACCCTGTCGCATATTTCAGCAGAAAGTTGTTACCCAGAGAAGTGAGTTATGCGGCAGTGGAGAAGGAATGCTTGGCCTTGGTCTGGGCATTGAAAAAGTTAAGTCCCTATTTGTATGGGCAAGAGTTTTCCCTGGTGACGAATCACAACCCACTCGTTTGGCTTAACCGGGTCTCAGGAGACAATGGGAGACTACTGAGATGGAGCTTGGCATTGCAGCCTTACAATTTTACCATCAGCTACAGACCCGGTAAGCTGAACGGAAATGCAGATGGTTATCACGACAAACCGACGTCTCCACCACTTCCTAGTCCGGTCATCCCCAAGTTGACCCGCCACAGGGTCAAGCCGGATCTGCCGGAGTGTCCCACAAGGAGGGAGCCGTGTGACAGAACCATCTGTCTGCTTATTTCAGGTGGATTCGTCTATTTCTGCCCCCTTTTGTGTAAATGGCTGTTTCTATAGCCCAGCCATACGAATGACTGTTTTCCCGAACAAACCTACCGAACGGACGGCCACCCAAGAGAGAAGTGTGCTGCTGGTTAACCTATTGATCCCAATTAGAACGTTGTGGTTAACCGCAGACACTTCTCAATTAAACCGAATTAAGGGTGGTCGTCGTTCGTATGTCGACCACGAGGCAGCGGCCATTTTAAACCACGCGAAAGCCCAGCGGTGTTTGGCTCTATTTCTATGGAACTAAAAACGGACACTTTTTCTGCCAAACACAGCTGAAACAACGGAACGCCTGACTGCCTCCACGAAAGCATACGAATACCGGCCATTCGGGAGGTTTGGAGCATACGAAAGGACTTAACCCATATAGCCTTCCCATGGATGCATTCGTATACCGAAAGACTGTAAGAACTTTGACTCCATGGCGATTGAACTATGTGTGTGGGATCTGAGCGTTATTCGCTAATAATATGCATTCAGATCTAGGCTATCTGGGGATATGTGATACGAATGGGAAATGTTCGGTTATTTTAAAGTTATGCATTTTTATGTCTTTTATGATTTTATATTTAAAATGGCGACTGGCTTTGTCCTGGAGATAATTGAGTTACTTGGTAATTATCTCCAGGGTAGAGGGGAGGGAATCATAATGCACTGTGGGTAAAATCTGTGACTGTGTGTCTGGAATGTCCCCATATCTGTCTGTCATTTAAGTCTCCCATTTGGTCCCCTAGGGGAGTGTCCACCAAGTGGGAGACCTGCATAAATACGGGCAGGTAGCCCACAGTAAAGCCAGATCCTGTTGAACCCTCAATGCGGAGCTTCTGTCTCGTTATTGGGGGGATTTCTTCTTATTATTATTAGTATTGCCATTTATATAGCGCCAACAGATTCCGTAGCGCTTCTTCTTCACGTTTAGAGA